AAATATTGTCTTTATGAACAAAAATATTACCTTCAAGTGCTTGTTCAATTGACAGCAAATATCGTACATTACTTTGAGGTTGTTGTTGGTGAACYGCTCATCACCAACCACGTTTATCAGCAAATACACCATATAGCCAATCCTAATGGTTTTTGAATGCAAAAATTGTCATAATTTAAACCAATTCTATACCATTATTAATTAATATTTTAAAAATTATCAATAAAAGTGTTATTACCTTTCACCTCCTTTTAAGTTTAAGAACTTCAATGGAAAAGCATGCCTGCAGGCCATCCCAAACACAGCTGTTTCATCTAAAGCAATATACCTCCCTTTTGATCTTATGACAGATCCTGCTTGAAAGTCACTGCAGTCCTTTAAAACAATAATAATAATAATATGTGGCAAAAAGGTATGCCTAGAAGTAAACTTATTTTCTTTATAAACTTATTTTTCAAAATGTATATTATTATACCTTTCCTCTATCTTTGAGTGCATCTGACCTACGACTATCTGATTTGGGATATTCCTCCATAAATTTGTCCACTTTATCTTGGTCAAGGAAGTAGCAATCGYMAGAAAGTGGATCTTGAAAGCTTTCCCCAGCTGATCTCTTGCGTGGTAGACCAAAACAAGCATCAGCTGACAAAAACACATCTTCTTTCTACAAAATTCAAATTATATGTATAAATAAATAAGTATTAATAAAGCATTATAGAGTTGTGACTGTGACAATACATCTATTAAGTTGAGCTTAAAGATGCAAAAACAATATCACCTGTAATAGAACATAACATCAAAATAAAACAAAATTATATTATTATATTCACCTCTGATGGATCAGGGCATGAAGGGCATTTTATGCTTTCAAGTTCAATTTCTAGATCATCATATGTCACCACAGGTACACTTTCAATGGCTTTAAAATGATASCTTAGGAGTAAAAATAAATGACTATTGATGATATAGTTTATAATTATTTGGGATATCATTATTTCTATCTTTTATCATTAAGTTTATTTTTCTTTGATTAAGTAGGGAACTATTACCTGAATTCCTCAAAGCTTTTGCGTAATTGCTCATAAATGTTACGAGTCTGCAATAAATTGTGAGGATATAATTTATATYATAATCAAGTTATTCCTAATTATAAAATGACTAATTTATTAATAAAATAATATCTATGTATATCAATATTTTATTACTTTTTATTTTGTTTTTTTNTATCGCTTTTTACAAAGGTCAGTAACATCTGGTTACAAGGACTTTACAACTTTCAGTAAGCACTGACTCACAACGTACGGGACGGGTGAATCGATTACTGTACGCAGGCATCCCAGACCTCCTATATATCCTATATTTTCCTATCATTTGTTTAGAATCCTATAAGGATCCTAAAATTAAAGAAAAAGCCTCCTATATTTCCTAATAAAACGGTGCTGCTTTTTTTCTTTCTTTCTTTTTTTWTTATTTGGTTCTGTCTTTTTTAATGGCTTTTAGGTTCTGCAAATAAACAATTGCCTGTGCACCCTCCCTGCAAGATCCCTGGTTACGCCATTGAAAAGCTATTTTAGCTCCTATAAAGTGCATATATTTTTGGGAAATTAAAAATCCTATATTTAGAACTTCAGCCGATATTTCCTATCAAATTTGTCTAAAAAGTGGCTGGGATGCCTGTTGTACGTCGCACTTGCCTCTTCACATTCTCAATGGATTTGGGTATTTGCCTTCAGGGTTCATAAAAACCCGTCATTTTTCAACACTTGGAAATAATTCTTGCTTTTATACGATAAATAATACCTCGAAACAGAAATTATTTGGCCGACTTGCTAAAATTCCATGAAAATTTTGAATTATAAATGCCGAATATTTTCTAGACTGTCATTTCCAAAATCAATACTTAGCATAAAGTACCTTGGATGTTTATTATTTAGATTAAACAAGCTTATTTCGATGACTGACGTGTATTTAGATCAATAAATCTACCTAGTGTGCGTGTGCTACGTCGACAGTAAAGGCGGCCGTAAGTGACATACATGGTCATTAACAAACTCATATTACATATGACACATCTCGGTTGCAATACACAGTGAACCTTTGTTACTGACGTCGCTCGTTCAGTCCAACTTTATAACAGCGACGGCAAACTGTCTGAGAGTGTGGCGTTACTTGACATATTGCTTTCTTTTCTGCCCTGGGTCGCTTCGTCTTACAAGGAAACGGGGCGACTTGTCTTACGAGATTTGTGTTCTAGTGGGCCGAGCTCGCTTCTGTAGCTCCTTGTATCATGGCATTTCCTCGAGAGTTACTCATTCTCATGTTTTGGGTATTCCTCAAGTCTGAGATCGTAACTGCCCGTAAGTACTAGCTTTGCTTTTCGTCTAAGTAGCGATTGTGTGTTTTACGACTACATTGTACAAAAGGTCAGGCGAATAAGATATATGCCGTTTGAGTTGCTATACAAGACTTCTTTATCAAACTACTTCTATCGGCCCATTTAGTTTATTTTGCTTTGCTGTTTTTTTTTCAAACTGTGCTTCGTTTATAGTTTTATGGTATTTTATTTCAGACAGTCTTCGTTGTTTTGTGGCCATTTAGATTCGTTTTATACCTTTAATACTCGTCTTGAAGCACTTAATTCTCATATAATCCAGACGTCTGGGTCATAAATTATTCGTATCCTTAAAGAAGTTTTAACAAAAATTTTATTTGTACGCCGGAAGCATTTCGTTAAATTATTTTTAAAACGATTATTCCTCAAGCATTGTACGTCGCGCAAATGCGAATACTCGATATCCGCAGGCAAACGTATTAACTATTATTTCAAAGGAATTCTCCAAATAATCTATTGGATTGATGCACATGCTCTCTATCCTATCACATGAAAAATGCGGGACCTCAGATATCAAACTCACGCGAATGAACGACTTGAGACCAACTTAACGAAGTCGTGTTGATATCAGATTGCTTGGGTAATCATTTCTATATTGCTATTCATATGTTATAGAAATTATCATTACGAGAATGACAGGATATCATAGTCTAATCATAAATCAGTTCTATTGATTTTACCCCTGACTTACCTTGGACTTCGTTTAATCAATCTTTAAACTCACTCCAACGGAGTTTCAGCTTTTGTGTTATCTGAACTACAATCTTCTGCAAAATAAAATGTGGCACCTAGTATTCTGGAGGACCATCCCCCACTCCCCCCGTAGCAATGTTGTCTCGCATACATTTTACCAGCCAACCGCTTCACAGTGTAGAAAACTTCCTTGACCAACATTGCTAGGGGGAAAGGGGGGAAACTGGCACATTATTTTTGCAGAAGATTGTAGCTCGGCTAGATCCAAGAAGCGGATTCAGTTTTATGAAGGACAGATAATGATGACTTCACTTCTCGAATCAAAGGTTCATATTTTACTCTCTTTATTCATGCTGGGAGAATTCTTCAGCGGCCGCTGAGCACCCTTAAAAGTGGGGAGATAAGATTGGAAAATATTTGAAACTAGTATGGGAAAAAGTAGTGGGGGGGGGGGGGGGGGGGGGGAGGGGTTACATTGTAAAATATATGAGACTAGTATGGGAAAAGGGAAAAAGCTTCTCTGTGGAACCCTGGGCACATGCCCTAAGGGCGGGTAGACCTTGGTAGCTTCTCGGGGGGCATTATTAATCGGATGAAAGACGGTTTCATCCGTCTTGGGTGCAACTGCGGAAATATTAGAATTTCAACAAGTTCCCTATAGGATAATGAAAATTAATCAACCGTTTCAGCAGTTTTCCCAGTGGAATTAAATGTATATATATTTAAAGAGTACCGCTACAAGGATTACGAAGCATTTTTATTTTATTTTTTACGGGACAGCTAACTGAACATGAATTTCCTCAGACAGATCCACAAAGGGGTTCCATGTTCCCTTACACCCCCTAGATCAACCTGAAGGCAAAGAGTTATAGATAGATAGATGCTTATTTAAATACGGTGAACTCTCCAGGATTTACAATAAGCCTGAAGCGAGATGACGTTTTACCCCAGACTCTACAAGGGCGGATCCAGGGTTTTTTGAAGGGGGGTCTCAGGGGTAAATTTTGTGGGCAAAGGAATCCCAGTCGCATTTTTACCACAGGAAGCCCATTTGACCTCAGGAATGACAGGGGGGTCGCGACCCCCCCCCGACCCTCCCCCTGGATCCGCCCTTGCTCTATACCATAATAGTTTTTAAAATTCTTTCGTATTAAAATTTTTTGATTCCTTAGAGAATACAGGAACAATAGTCATAATTAAAGAACAAAAGCAGTGTGAAAAGGATTATGGTCTAGAGACGGGGGTAAAACGTCATCTCGCTTCAGACTTATTAGTAGTAACAATAATAATGGGAACTTTATTTCATTTATTTTTTTCATTTACAATTGTAAATCTCACTACAAATAGGTAATTTACAACTGACTACGTGAACTGAAGACACACACAAATACGCGTTTACACCTCACAAAAACAGACAAACGAATGGGAGGGGGGGATGATTAAAATTTCATCAAATCAGGATTATTCCAAGGTTGGTTTCTACAACAGAAGATAAAGTATGTTGATCGTATGGTTATATTCATTATTTTTCTAATTATATATTGTTGGCGTTTTTTAACCGAATCCTATGTTGTCAATCATTTCTATAAAACTAATTAACTAAACCTATGACTAATAATCCGGCATTGGTAATATGAAATAAAGTACCTGCTTTCCAAGAGTGCCGTGTTTCTTTACTACGGATAAATTAAACCCAGTTTAAATATTCAAAGTGACTCTATTCGGGCTAAAGTATTTTATTAGTGTTTTTTATTTTTTATTTTTCTTTCATTGTTCGTCATTTTATTGTTCATTAGATAATTGGTAAGGGGAGTGGAGAGTGTAATGATAGGAACCAGAAGCGTCTCACGACGTTTGCGCCGGAGGCTATGTTCCCTACATTTATCTCCTCTCCTCTCCTCTCCTCTCCTCTCCTCTCCTCTCCTCTCCTCTCCTCTCCTCTCNTCTCCTCTCCTCTCCTCTCCTCTCCTCTCCTCTCCTCTCCTCTCCTCTCTTCTCTTCTCCTCAGTGTGTCCTCCTCCTATAGAGAATGAGAAAGAGGTAAATGAGAAATGAGAAAGCTGTTTAAGATTATCAAGCAAGAAGGAGAACGTTTAGCGTGAATATAGGCCCATGGAATTTAAAAGTGCATGTATTGTTGAAATTGTGCATTTCTCACTGATACCAAAACCGCTCTACAGCATATCGTACATTGTACGTGCTGTAAGGCAGATCGTATGTTTCCCACTGATACCAAAACCGCTCTACAGCATGTCGTACCGTGTACGTGCTGTAAGGCAGATCGTATGTTTCCCACTGATACCAAAACCGCTCTTGGCATGTCGTAATGTGTACGTGCGGTACGACAGTATCGTATACTTCCCACTCGTACGATAAGCGCTCCCTTACATAATCATTTTTTTTWAATGTATAAAAGCGGTTTGAAAATAAAATTTGAAATAAACGGATATTAATATTTTTGACTTTACCTTTGTAGAAGTTGTACGTAGAGGTATTTGCCCCTCGTTCGAACCCCCCGAGGAATGTCCATCCACACCTGATAACGATTGTTTGGTTGACGGAGATTGTGATTTCTCCTTGAAGTGCTGCAGTGATGGCTGTGGAAAAAGGTGTATAGGTAAATATTAATACATTTTTTCTTGATAAATGGAGTATAGGAAATCGTAAAAAAATTCTCTGGTGTTGTCACRGAAAGAACGTCGTTAGCAGTCATTCTTTGAACTCATTGCTATTATTTTAATAGAATATAGATATGACATAAGAATGAAATAATGAAATAAACCATAGGGAAACTGATCTGGGGAAAAATATCAGTCCCAGAGGGTAGTGGGTTCGATTCAGTTCTACATCTGAAACTCAGAATTGTTTTTCTGAGTTCGCTACCATTCACCATTTTCCATACATTGATTCACTAGTCAAACACAAAGCGCTCAAGCGAGGCGCCAAGGTACTTTCAAAGGATTATTCAAATTTGAGCCTTGCAACCTCGACTAAATGCTTTGTGTTTGACCAGTGAACCGATGTATGGAAAATGGTGAATTGTAATAGTCCCCTTCACAGTTCCCTGCGCCATCTTGAATGGTAGCCGTGCTTTTGCATCGAAGCGAGACGAACGGTGAGCTTGCAATGATAGAGACATGTGAATAATTGTCCAAGGTATCAAAAAAAGGTCTCTATCATTGTCAGCTCAGCGTGAAGGGGACTATTCCGAGTGATATATTCTTTAGTTTAGTATAGACCCCTTGCATGTGACTTCAAAGTAGTTCGACAAAACAAAAGAATTCTAATCTCCCGAGAATTGGAACATATTGTTTTGTCCACCAGATTGAGCTGCATTCCAAAAGTGCTGCAAGGGGTCTATTATCAAACCCATTCAAGGCAAAGAATTCTGATATTAATAGAGCTGTTAAGTGTGTATTATACCAACTTGTCAACCTCCCAAGAACGCGCGTTCTGATTGGCAAATACAGTAGAACCTCCGGGGGAATTGTCAGGTAGCTAGCAGCTTTAAAATAAGTTCCAGGTTGAGTGCATACCTAATATCCGTGAAAAACTATGTAAGAAATTGCACAAATTTGCACACATTAGTAGGTTCAGTAGACCACAGTAGGCCCCACAATAGAACGTAGACCTACAAAACTTTGCACTAATTCGTACAATTTTGTTAGTCAACGTTTTCACGAATATATGATATACACTTTATTACCATTCCTCTTGGTTAAAATAACAGACACTGAGCAATAACATATTGTTTCTTTCAGAGCCACTACCTGAGCCAAGGGTACGTATGACTTGTCAGTATTAGGACATGGGCACCCTATGGTACTATACGACATTTTAAGCCTGGGAAGAGCGTGTGACAGTTTACTGCATGAGGGTGTTGTACTAACTCGTTAAAGTGGGAAATGGGGTGTTCCTGAAATTTCCGCTTGTAAAGAGATGAAAATATACACCTATTTCAATTGATGGTTTTCACGGCGGCCATGTTGGAGGAACTTAACAAAAGAATTGTCAATGAATTCCTTTGTTATATACTCCAACATGGCCGCCGTATCTTTTGTTATTATAATTCTCTTGGGAATGGTTGAAAACCATCAATAAAAACGTTGGCGATTGGCGATAGGCGATAGGCAATAGGCGAAAGGCGAACAGCAATAGGAGATTCCAAGATCCAAGAATAGGTAGCCTCCTTTGCAGCCGCTGTGAGGCGCTTCCGGAAGCGCCTCACAGCGGCTGCAAAGGAGACTAAAAATAGGTGGAATTACCTGTGTTTTTGCTTCTTATTCTAGTCAAGAACAAGGATCTTAGTGTTGATACTGATTCGATGTTTTTACGAAACCATTTCCATGTTGGAATGACCGATCGTCAAAGGCGATGACTGAACGCTCATTGAAATAGGTGTATCTACCAAAGCTTCTTTTGTACTTTAGTGGGGCTTGAATTTTGATCAAAATGTAGGTGAGATCTATCGAGACCAACAGATAATGAGATTGGATTAACATCATTTATTGCAGCCATCCGTAAGATCTACAGAGTTATACTCGCGTTTTGTATTTTTTAGGAACAAATCGTGATAGGTCCAAATGGTCGAAATGGGAGCCCCGGGCCTAAAGGTTTTCCTGGAGAACAAGGTCCCCCAGGTGTAAGTATTTGATTGATGATTTTTCACATATTCATAGTGAAGGTTTGCAGTCATTCACTAGAGAGTCGATACGAAGACTTGAACACCATGTTGGTGGCATTAACATCTTTTGATAAATAACATCAACATGGTTGCGGTGATGTGGTGCGTAAAAGGACAATTGTCATTTAGTAATTTTTCATTGATTACCTGTGGGAACAGTGTGAATAAATCAAAATGAATTTCAAAATGTTTTTGATGTGAAATAGTCAAGGGACTGTTTGTGACCTTTCCATTGTCTCTTTTGTCTGGAATGTTTTCTTTTGTTTTCGATGAAAATGATCAACGTTTTTGAAGYGCTTATTCTCCCTCTCCTTCCTCTCCGGGCAACCACCCTCCCCTTCTTCTTCCCCATTACGAGTCGCTACGCATGCTACACACTACACCTGGCGATAGGAGGACGAAGTTTCACTTCGAGGAGTTCGCATTCCAGTGCATTGCCGTATTTCTATCTCTCGTGCTTTCAAACATTTGGCAAGCTTTCAAAGCCCCTAGTTAGAGCGCATGCAGATAGTAGAGAAAACATCGTGGGGCTAGTAGAAGAGTAGTTAGTTCAATGAACTACCTACTGACGTGTTGTCTGATACTTGATACTAACTTGATACTTATATCTGATTTCTTTTTGAATTTTTAGGCAAGCACTGGTGAGGGAATAAAAGGGCCTCCCGTAAGTATTATCAGTGAGTAACTCATTTTGGGAATACAAATGTTTGCTCTTCGAAATCTAAGTGCCAGGATGTTATAATAATAAGGATAAGAGTCAAAGAAAACCAAGACTAACATCTTTTGTTCACAGGGTCCCATTGAAAGACTCCTCGAAGAAATGATCTCTCTGATTAATATTAAATATAATAAGTATATAAATAGATAAATAAATAAATAAATAGATATATTGGTAAGCGTGCGCGTTGGGTGAAGGTTTTTTGATCACCGGAAGTAGATTTGGCACTGAGACGCCACCACAACATGATCATTCGAGCGGGTTCGTTTTGAAGCATGTGGCGTGGGCGTCCTCTCTAGGACAATATCTATAGCCTTTTCACGTCCTGGTGAGAATGTCAACCTTGAAAACGAAGCAGCGCATAATATAAATGTGCTTACGCTTTGGTATCGAGTCTGCGTCGTCTTTGCCGAATCTGTCTTCTAATGCGTTTACCACTCCTGGGTGGACGGCTTAATGCCTAACAGGTTTTGCAACTCAATTGATAAGGAAGCCGATAGATCGAATTAGAAAAATAAGAAAAGAAAGGAAGAAAAGCCGGGGAACATGGACGAAAAACCCTCGAAGCACAGGAGAGAACCAAGAAACAACTCAACTCACATACGACAACCGGGTCGCATTGGTGAGAGGCGGCGCATTAGCAGCGCACGCCACCCATGTTTCCCGTCTCATTACATTAGCATGAAAAAAATGAAACTAAATTCAGCCTTTGGAAGAAGTTGGTTTAGGTTGCCTAAGTAAGTGTTAGATAAGTAACTACTCGAGTCTTGTTTAATATAGACCTAGAAACGAGATATTTTTTATGTTGTCTCGCATCTAGGGACCACGAGGACCCCGTGGACAACCCGGCTCTCGAGGTGTGCCAGGACCTCCAGGGCCACCGGGATCACCGTCCATTGGACAGGTCAGTCACGTGTATAGTATTATCGTAGATTTACCACCCGTGTGCTGTGTGCTCTCAAAACCCACTTGCCTCGATCAATYATAAAGCGAGATCTATGGTATTAGCGTTGATTTTTGAAGATTGCACTTTCCCTCCTCTTTCGCCCGTGTGCTTTGTGCTCTTATAACGCACTTGCCTCTACCAATCAGAAAGCGAGAGCTATGATAATATGAGCACCTATTTCATATAAACATTAATAGTTTGCCATTCCTAAGAAAGTCGAAAGACTAGAACATGCCAGCCATGTTAGTGGTAGTACGAGAAATGTTTCCTGGAATATATTACAATACACCTTTGTCACGCGACAGCCATGTTTACTGGAACAATAGATTTTCTCCGCGTGGCCTCGCACCCAAGTGCTTCAGGATGAGGCTACGCCGTGTGGTCAATCGAGTCCATGAGGCGGAATCTGCTTGTAAACTGTCCATACTGACTTAGCATATAAATAAACTGTATTTTTTTGATCTTTTAGATTCCAACTTATCCAGGCGAAAAAGGTCCTGTTTATAATCCGCTAATACGACACGATACGATGGCAAGCGTGCGGGTAAGGACATTGCAGTCAGGTAGGGGTGGGGTGGGGTGTGGGGCTGCCACCAAGATACCAAGAGGTTTTGCCACCTAAAGACTACTGTGCTCTTTAAGAAACGGGAAGATTACGGAAAAGGTCGTGTGTGTGTGTGGGGGGGGGGGGGGGGGGCAGATTGTCGTTGATAACTGTGTAATAGACCTCTCTGGCTTGGTCGTAATGTTTTTCATCAGAATCCGTGTCACAACTGAAAAGAAGAATCGTATCAGCTATAACATGCTTCGCTACTTGATTAACATCACAAGATGAATTCAAACAAGGATCCTCTTGTATTATCGTTTAATCTTGTGTCATTTTTTCTGCTAGGAAATACCGGGACCTCAAGGCCGACCGGGGCCAAAAGGAACCATGGTTAGTATATGATATTAATTTTATCTTAGTAATAACATGAGCCTTGGCACTAGCATTAGTACTAGGAATACAGAGCGCTATTGTATTAAAAAAGGCAATTTATTTGTAGTTGAAAGTGCCTTGTCGCGTTCTAAATTTTTGGGGTGCATATGACGTCATAGCCGCCATGTTGGTTGACTTGAAAAAACCATTTGGTCTTGTTTTCTTTTGTTATGTTAACTAGCATGACGGCCATGTCTTAAGCTCGTTAATTATAATGGTATACAGTCAAAAATCCTCAATCTGAAACGGGTAAATGACGTCACAGCCGCCATTGCTTGACTTGAACAAAAGATTTGGTCCTTCCATTTCTGTGTCTAGTGAATCTGTGACCAATACTCCAGGTTCGAGGTCTCTGTTGCCCAAGGGCGGATCCAGCCAAAATTTTAGGGG